AGAAGATAATAAATGCTACAGGACTATCATGAAAGAAACAGAAACTAATCAAATCAGTTCTTATCCCAAGAATTCTCTATGGTAGTATTGCATGGCTAACAAAGAAAAATGAAAGTAAAGCTAACAAAATATTAGACACCATCCAGAATAAAGCCAACCAAATAACGCTAGGAGCTTTTAAAGGAACGTCAAACGAAATGATGCGCCACGACACATATATGCCCCCACTCAAATGGGTAGCGACTAGCAGACATCACCAATTCATTCTCAAACGCCTCTCAGCTCAAGACACTCACCCGACTCGCCAATTCATAGAGTTCGAACTGAAGACCAAATACAAATCACATCCCGGACCCATCCAAGACATACTTAGTCCACAACACCTCGAACCACTTATCAAAGAAGAGGTAGAAACGATTTTTCCATTCCCACTGGCACCGTGGTCAAAATGTTTTGGGGAAGTAATGAACATAGGTAAAACGAAAGACGACGTGGTCAAACTTTTACCTGAACAAATCAAATCAGAAGAAAACAACGACACATTAATTATCTTTACTGATGGTTCGGTCAAAGAAGAAGGAGGAGGTGCAGCAGCAGTCTCTAAGACGCTCAGCAGAATACAAGCAGTCGAATTTAATGATAACTTCTCAAATCATGAGATGGAACTGATGGGTATACTTCTGGCTTCAGAATTAGCTAACGACATCTTCTCTACACAGCGCCCGCCACCAAAGAATCTAGCCATCTTTAGTGACAATCAAGGTGCAATCCAACTTGTTCAAGACATTCCGAAACAGACTTCAGGACAACACTTGTTGATTAAAATCCGTACTCAACTAATGAGAATCCCTCCTTCAGCTGATATAAAATTCTATTGGACCCCAGGACACAAAGGTATTGAACTGAATGAACTGGCTGACGAACTAGCAGGTACGACCGCGGAAAAGCAAGAAATGCCGATGCAGCTCCCGACCAGTCTTGGTAGTCTTAAACGACGAACCAAATCAAATTTCAACATCAAACAATTCACTTTCATCCCAGGAAAGAACACCTCCTTCATCACGAAACCAAAGTCGATTACAGAAGGTCTAGAGAACCTTGAAAAGGGCAACACAGCAGCCATATTTCAACTCAGGGCGGGATTTAGCCCCCTTAATGACCACTTATTCAAAAGAAACTTAACGGATTCCCCGCAATGTGACGTCTGCAAGATGAAAGAAAATACTCACCACTTTCTCCTTTATTGCAGGCGATACTCTAGAGCTCGTAAAACTTTTCGGTCAAGATTAAAAGAGGAAGGAATAAGAGTGAACTGGAACAACACCACTAAACTCTTAGACACGCCCAAAGTTTTCCCACTTCTATCAGAATTTATTTTAAAAACTAAAAGATTTGTACATTTTCACTCTTATTTACAGGATCAGGACCAAGGAGAACGGCCACGGAACAAAGAGCGACTTGCCACGAGATAGAAAGGATCTTAACAATCAAAAGAAGAAAAACCGCTGATAAGTACTCACGTAACTGGGTTCGATTGAAAAATATCAGAAACAGCGTACTGTCAAACCTCGTTACGGAGTTCGTCGGGTAATAACCGGCGAGGCAGTCATCATCCCAACTATATCATCTCATAAACCGCTGATAAGTACTCACGTAACTGGGTTCGACTGAAAAATGTCAGAAACAGCGTACTGCCAAATCTCGTTACGGAGTTCGTCGGGTAATAACCGACGAGGCAGTTTTAACCATCATTTTCCTCTCTTAAATCGCTGATAAGTACTCACGTAAATGGGTTTGATTGAAAAATATCAGAAACAGCGTACTGTCAAACCTCTTTACGGAGTTCGTCGGGTAATAACCGGCGAGGCAGTTTAACAAAAAGTTCAACATTGTTGTCTTTTTAAGGGAAATATTCCACCTAGTCTCCAGATACTTGGGACGTGCTTGCACACAGGTGTGAAATAAAATAAAACAAGAAACAATTTATTGCAAAATGACAGGGATAAAAAATCATAAACAAAAGAAAAGAGAAAGATTAAGGATTCTTGATATCGACTGGCAACGAAACTCTTTGATCCGACTAGATGGCCGAAATCTCCAAGGTGTACTGGTCCTTTTTCTATTTAACTTGTTTAGTTAGTGTATTATGCAATAAAGCCAATCGCACTTAAAAAAAAAAAAAAAAAAAAAAAAAAAAAAAAAAAAAAAGGAACTTGAAATTGGGGTGGTTTGACTGCTCAGGCTCACGGCTCACCTCCGTGAGTCAAGCCTTTAAGGGGTCGAGGAGTCAACCCAGTCAAAATCTCTATCGAAATATGAAGTTTTCAACCGTACATATACGGTACGTAGTGGTAGAGTAAGCTTGGAGGAGATGACAGAGCTAATGAAGCCTGTCACAGAACTAATAGATCTAGCAGAGATAGGCCAGTGGAAGGGCAACACTCAAGGACTCCCCTACTCCACCGTGCTCTAGAGATAAATGGATACTCCTATACTCAAAGCCATAGTGATACTCACATGAATCCAACGAGATCTGGAAGTGTTGGCTTAGGGAAGTCGAGTCTTCATAGAGAAATTAGAAGACTCAAATGGCTGATTCCTTCATCAGAAGACCATCTTTCTGTGTCCCCAGTTGTTTGTCTTGTTGCGGGTCAGCGATACATTGTGAATGCAACCACGGTAATTAACCCATTGGAAAAACCTGCCGAAGGGTATGCCAAAGACTTGTGAAACTGCAGGCTTCCTATGACTGGCGCGTTGCACAAATTTCACATAGAAATCTATGAGAAGCTTCAACTCCAACTCGTGATATCAACCACAAGCGTGAGGAAGGCACTGGTGGAGCAGGAAGGATTGCAATGTGTCCACCATTGATGCAACTTTACAAATTATAGGGAGTCAGAAATACAATTTAATCTTAGTATATTTAGATTTGCCGAGCCCTTGGCCAAGTTCTCAAGAGCTCACTCTCTCAGGCATTCATTAAGATATGAAGATTTTACAAAGGCGGAATTTGGATCATGCTACTAGTACAACTTACAAGAAAGATCAGCTGTTGATAAGTTTCCAAACTGCTGAGCTGAGTACTTCTTCAGCCTTTGTGTTTTCATTCGAAAGAGGTGAACTGTTGATACCAGCAAACATCAGCTGCTGATAACTTGCCCAATCGCTGAGCCGATTCTTTCTGATAAATAACAAGCTTTGAAGGAACTGGTAATCATCATGCACCGCTCCCTAGAACTCACCCAATAATCCTAGATCAAAAACTTATCTACTAAAAATTTACTCAACTTTACACGATACAATATGGTACAACTCCACCAACAATATATCTGCTACTCTGAGCTTGTGACTCTGATTCAAACCCTTCAGAATGATTTTGATCGAAGCAATATACCTCAAAATAACCCACCAATCGTATTTAATTATCTTATGAACCTATTCACAACAGAGGCGATGTTTGTGTTCATTGAGACTCGTCCGAACTGGGAAGAGACCTATACTGAAG